CTGGCAACTGTACCGACACTCACAGCTGGTGGTGCGTTGGTACGTCGTTTCCATTGTTTACTGGTAGTTACTGGTAAATATTTTTCAACCTAACGAAACTATTACCCGTTTAGAGGTCGACCTCCAATTTTTTGCCAAATAATTTGGTCTTAAAAACTCGAACTACACACAGGTATACACGGTAAATAAGGACATGGGGGGGCCAGGGTTTTTTTAGGGGGGCAGCAAAAGTACACGGATTTTTAACATTCACGGGTGTCTCTGATACCTAACCCCCGCTTATGTTAAGGGCAGACTGTAACTCACTTTGTTTTTATGTTATACAGTACATAAAAAAAAATTGTACATCAATCTGATATATATATATATATATATATATATATATATATATATATATATATATATATATATATATATATATATATATATATATATATATATATATATATATATATATATATATATATATACATATATATATATATATATATATATATAGATATATACATGTGTAACAAAGCACAAAGCAGGGAACTTCCAATTCAGGGATGGGACACACTTGTAGTCTTCTCTCAATTATTTACTCTAGAAATCACCCGAGAAGGAAGAGGCTGGGACCTAGATCAGACATAACTAGTTATTATACATACAAAACAAGCATCAACTGTTGTCATAGGGGTACCACACAGTAGTAGGAATTAAACAATACATAATAAACCCGTGGTGTAGACTCACTCCAGGGTGAATGTCTGGAGAGCAACGCTAGAATTACCCTTATTCTGGCTTACAAACTACCTCCACGAGATCATCACATTCTTCATATAACATTTATTATGCTCAATCTATCAAACACACTCTAACAGAGCAAAGAAATACGTGGGACACACCTGCTACTGGGCCCCGGGATGTAAACAACGCCATGGCGTCTCTCCCCCCCGGCTGGGATGCATATTCGTTCTAGCGCGGATTCACAAGACAAAATTACGTTTTCCTCCTCGAAGCTTACAAAAATACATATCCATATCAATAATATTCTATATCACAAAATGGTTGTCTCTGGAGTTCCTCATACCACACACACTCCTCCATACAAATGTTTGCCGATGGCGCCAAGTTATTTCGGGAAATTAAGAACCGAGCATTTGCATTCATCTACAATGCATTCATCTACAATGCTTTTTTCCTTTTTAACCTCCTCACTACCCTGTATTTGGAAACCACTTTTAATATTTGTTGACTATTACAGTTAATTTATTCGGCAGAGTGTGGATGATGCTGCGGATTGGTAGCTGGTATTTGACCCCACCGAATAAACTACATTATTACCAGGGAACTATATATACAACACCGAAATGTCAGCTGCTAATGGGGTTTATAAGTTCCTCCCGCTTGCTAAGTAAAGATGCCTGGTTGATCTGCTAGGTACAACCATGATGAAATATATATATTTACTGTTGTAACTAAACTGAGCTAAAAGATAAAGTTAAAGTCTTAAATTATTTATGCCTTAACCACATGAAAAGGTTAAATAAATACACAGTAAACTTACTGCTCCACATGTAACAATGCGATTGGTGCTGGGAGCCCAGTCAATGCCTGTGACACGCAGATCATGACCCTGGAGTGTTTCCTGAAGCTTCCACTCTGATGCAGCTCTGCCATATATATTCACTTCATTGTTGTTGAGACTCAATGCCACTTCTGTAAGAAATACACACACATGCACTGAGGTTGCAAAACTAGAGAAACAAAACAAAACTACAGAGAAGCTAAGTAGCTAAATAAAATCTAAACCTAATAATGAAAAAAAAAATAAAAAATAAAATTAACTCCACCTACTTTCTGGTACAAACTGGGAGAGATCAGAAGCTTTGAACATGTTATGACCAGAAGAGGAAACCAGTCCTGCTCAGGTATAAAAAAGAGGACTGAACCCCCCCCCCAGTGATTATGCTGTATTATGACAGCTGTCTGGCTGAAAACTTAGGTAAAATTGCAGATTACAGCAACCAAAGAATAACCTAATCTAATCTTCCAGAATTCTGTGGTTGCATTTATTTTTTATTTTTATTTTTTATTTTTTTACGGGGAATAGGCCACCCAGCAACAGGTCATTGAACCACAATGGGGCCTGGGGGGCAAAAAAAATAAGAGTAAAAAGAAATTGAATTGCCCACAGAGAAACTGTGGGCACCACGGGCAATACGAGAGTTACAAGTCCACGGCCTTGCCGGCAGTACACGGGATGCCAAATCCACCAAACATTGGCCATTAAAGTACCTGTAAAAAAGAGAGTGAAGCAACATTGAAGCAAAGAGAAAGGGATGAAAGATTATCAATTAAAGGAGGAGAGTCAATAAGATGAAATGCCTTTGATTCCACCTTATCTAACAGTTGGACAGAAGAAGAGCCACCCTCGATATGAGCACAGTACTCCAAGTTAGGACAAATGAATCTCTTATAAACTGAAGCAACTGCTCAGGAGTAAAGTAGCTACGGCATCTGTACAGCATTCCCAGCTTTCGGAAGGCAGTTTTAGCAATGTTGTGGATGTGTGGCTTCCATGACATATTATAGGTAATGGTGAGACCTAACATATCTATTTTAGAACTTAGCAGAATGATTGCATCCTGAAATGTGATTGGTGGGAGATCATCAAATATTACAAAAACTTCTTCTAGAAAAGTGATACCGATAAAACTCAGTTTGAAAATTAGATGGCAATTTACCTGCCAGGCAAGTGCTATTTAACTTCATATAGGTCGGTACTCACGGCTGCGGTCCTCATTCCGGGCACGACAAGCGATGGGCACGAGGCCGAACCGGAACACTTCTGTCATGGCGTATCACTTGGAGCAGGTGTCTGTAACACTGTGTAAAATAAATGGTAAATTTTCACAAATGCACCGGTCTTTGTTCAGATATTAAAAATATGTTTTTTCAGTGTTACTCGATGAGTTTCGAACAAATTTAATATTAATTTCAGCCGGAAATCAATAGTTCTTTGGGTAAATCACATAAATAAAAAACCAACAAACTAACAAATCCAAACCTAACCTTAACTAACCTAACACTATTTTTCCGACGAAAATCTGCAATTGACGTAAAACTCTCGCCCAATTATAAGTCTCCTATAGCCAATAAGAAACTCCCACACCACCCCCCACACATGCGCTGTAGATGCTTAAGAATCCAACACGGAGGTAAGGAGCACTGCGCGACGGGCGGTCAGACCTCCGTGAGACGTAAACAACAAATGACAACACTCGTGAATGACCAAATCTAATAATATTGAAAAATTAATATCTCGGTTATCCTTAATTTCCGGCGGAAATGTCACAAAAGAAAAATGTCTTAGATTGTCTAAACATTACGAAAAACATATTAATAACAGTGAGAGAAATACCAGTGCAAGATCGAAAATTCACTAAATAAATTATAAAACTTACACAAGTCATAAATAAAACTATATAAATATATCAGGTTTTAATAGGTTCTAGTAAATGTCACCTAGATTTTAAAATATATCATAATGGTAAGAACATATTGAAAAAATGAAAGAAATTGAACAACACCTGCTGGTTTTAGTCATCTCTTCCAAGAATACCTTTATACCCGTTAAATATAAGATTAACTTTAATTTCTTACCGTAAATAAAGTGGCAACCATCTGTATCCATTAACTAAAACAGTATCTACATGGATATTACAGTACAAATATAAATCTTTCACCAATTACATGACCAATGTATATAATTATTATCATAGATATACGAATTATTGGTTAAAGGCGATGAATCATTTACAGTAGGCGGGGCTGTCCCCTCACGTCTTCCGCCATAACTACGACCTACAATAACTTCTTTCATGCCATTAGGAAGTTAATTTGTTATATATTATCAAAATACATGGAACAAAAAAAAGAGTTCCTTCTACTTACCTAAATATTGAAGGATATTAGCGGACTCTGGTCAACATCCTCAAGTCCTGACTTGTGACCAAAACAGCTTGAGTCTCAACCTGTTGGCCTGACTTAAAGCACAAAGCAGGGAACTCCCAATTCAGGGATGGGACACACTTGTAGTCTTCTCTCAATTATTTACTCTAGAAATCACCCGAGAAGGAAGAGGCTGGGACCTAGATCAGACATAACTAGTTATTATACATACAAAACAAGCATCAACTGTTGTCATAGGGGTACCACACAGTAGTAGGAATTAAACAATACATAATAAACCCGTGGTGTAGACTCACTCCAGGGTGAATGTCTGGAGAGCAACGCTAGAATTAGCCTTATTCTGGCTTACAAACTACCTCCACGAGATCATCACATTCTTCATATAACATTTATTATGCTCAATCTATCAAACACACTCTAACAGAGCAAAGAAATACGTGGGACCTACCTGCTACTGGGCCCCGGGATGTAAACAACGCCATGGCGTCTCTCCCCCCCCCCCATATTCGTTCTAGCGCGGATTCACAAGACATATTTACGTTTTCCTCCTCGAAGCTTACAAAAATACATATCCATATCAATAATATTCTATATCACAAAATGGTTGTCTCTGGAGTTCCTCATACCACACACACTCCTCCATACAAATGTTTGCCGATGGCGCCAAGTTATTTCGGGAAATTAAGAACCGAGCATTTGCATTCATCTACAATGCTTTTTTCCTTTTTAACCTCCTCACTACCCTGTATTTGGAAACCACTTTTAATATTTTATTCAGCTAATGCCAGACAATTTTATTCAGCAGAGTGTGGACCCAGTGCACAAGTGGTTACTTTTACTTTTTTTTTTACTTTTATCCTCTTCGCCACTGATCGGCTTGTTAGCCGCTTGGGCGATCGGTCACGTCTCTTTTCCTTTATATTCTTCACCAAAAGGTCGGCTAGTCGCCCAAGGATCGGCCTGCCCTGTCACGCACTGTTGGTAAATACTGGGCATGCACCGGCTCCTGAATGTACCTGAACCCGCTCCAGTGTTGGTCAAGTCTTCTCTTGAAAGAGCTCACACTCGGTGCCGTCACAACACTCTCTGGTAGATTGTTCCAAGAGTTTACAACCCTCACTCCGAAAAAGTTTGCCCTCACGGTTTTCCGGACTTGCGGCTTCTTCAATCTTGAGCTGTGACCCCTTGTGGGGCGAGCGTCCGCCAGCTCCAAGTAAGGACACTCAACTGAGTAGTGCCCCCTAAGATGCTTATAAACCTCAACTAGGTCCCCCCTTGCCC